GTCAGTGCGAAAAAAACATAATTTCCACTCCCCAACGTAAAAGAAACAAGCAAGATACATCATGGTACTTCTATTTTTTTGTATTCTCCTTGATACTTGCCCTATTCAAAATTTTACTAATTAGCTTAATGGAAAATGTTCTTGAACATTTATATTACTAAGAATTTCAGTTTTAAAACATACTTATATTATTTCTAAAAACCTAAAGCCTCTCAAATTCGATTATTAAATGAATTAAATATTCTTTGATTCACAAGGTTTCAAGCTTGGAGTTTCAAACCAGTTTATTTTTGTATTAACAATTTCTACAATACTTTCTCTAATGCGAATAATTTTTATCTGGGGTTGAAAAGGAGTTCTGCGGCACTTCCTGCAGTTTTCAATTTAGAATATACTCCATACAAAATTTTGAAGTTAAACTATAGTTACCTATTTCATTTTGATTAAACAAATACTCAAGAAGACATTATTTGTAAATATTATAAGAAATTGATTAAGAAACGATTACTAATTAAATTATTAACTTTCGATCATTTCAAATCAAGTTATAAATGGAAAAAGATTAAACAATTAACATGATGACTCTCAGTTTTCGGAAACTTTTAGACGTAGCTATGATATCAATTGCTTTCTTCGAATAATTTATCAAACGATATATTTATTTGAGATAGAAATGACGAGTTCATGCTTGTCTTCAATATTGGAAGTTCCTTAAACTAAATAAATTTATAAGTATAATTTATTTACCTTTATAGATTATAACTCCAGTTCATGAACTCGCTTCATATAATATTTCATATAGTATCAAAAGAATATCCATAACTGAAAAAATAGCCTCAAATTCCGATATTTATAATTTAATGCAAAATTTCTATTCATACCTTGATAGTTATTCAGCTATTTAATACGAGGTTTGATCACACCAAGTTTTCTAATAAGTTTTAGATAATAAAATACTGAATGAACATATTATTCCGATTACCCATTGAGTTGATGGGAGAAACTTTGTCTCACCTTTCCCCGGATGAATTAACATACAAGTTTGATCTTGAAGGTCTAATTTATGATAGAACATTTAATTCATATTCTAAAGTTAGGCAAATGGCTTTCTTCGTTAAATATAAGGGGAAACATGTGACCATTTCCAATACGAATATCAATGATACCCTTCAACTATCAAATTTCCAGTTACAATATTTGAATATTACGCAAATGGTCATAAAGCCTAAAGTGATTTCTTTAGTTTTGTTCGATTGCAATAATCGTTCGTCGTATAATTTTATTAGTTTCATGTTGAGTCATCATTTTAAATTGTTAAAATCATTTACAAATAAGTTTAGTTTTCAATTAAGTATACATGACGATAATTTGATCGACATTAATTTGTTAAATGGAATATTGTACCATTTTAGTTATAATAATTATATTGTAAATTGGTTTTCAATACACTATAAAACTGTGAAGCAAATTACGGGAGTACAACAAACTTCCTTTGAAGAAAATTCTCATGACTTGAATCATGGCAGTATTGAGAACTTAGAATTGCATCTATTTAATTCATCTAGATTGATGGAGCACTTTATGTATTTTAGAAATCACAATTGTATATGTGGAAACTTGAAAACTTTAGATTTATCGTATAATAATATTAATGATGAGAACTTGGCAAAGTTATATTTTCCTGATCTGATACAAGACCTTAATTTATCCAATAATAATCTTCATACAATATCCAATAACTTTAATATTAACAACCTGGCAAATTTAAGAAATCTAAACTTGTCTAATAACAACTTGATTAGGATATCAATTAGCATTAATATATCTTTCAATTTAGAGGTATTAGTATTGTCTGGTAACAACTTAAATAATTGCAATTTCTTATGTAAACCCTTCTTCCAAAATTTGCTGAAACTTAATATATCGCGAAATTTGATATCTAATCTAATAAATCTTCCAACCTCATTAGAAAGATTAGATTTGAGCGGCAATTATTTGAGTTCCTTCTTTAACGAACAAACTTCAAATGTTTTTCCTGCCTCGTTGGTAGAATTGAATTTATCATGGTGTAAGATACTCTTTAAGGCAAGGCTAAATGTTATCGAAGCAAAGCGGACTCTACACATCGAAAATTTACATAAATTAAAATCATTGATACTTAGTGGTAATTACTACTATAATATTAACTCGGAAATATTACAACTCTGCAAATAGTCATTATTTATTACTTATTGTTACAGAAAATTAAATCTTATAATATAAGTAATATTTTCTACGAGCTAAATTACTAGTGATTTTGCGATTTCAAAATAAAGAATGGAATGTGAAAATAATAATATTTGAAATACATATATCTCTACTTCACTTTCTAAAATTGCTTTATTTATTTGGCCATAATGAATACATGGATTAATAGCTAAATCATGCTCTAAATATCTATCGTTTGCCAGAATATCTTACGCGATATTATAATTCCTTTAATTTGGTGTATTATACCACAAGAGTTTCATAATCAAAAATATCACTCATCCCAAATATATTACTTTAAATTACTTTGATAACTTGAGCAAGAGAAGGTTATAATCAACTATAGAACTGTAAGGGCGAAAATAAAGTCATGTCTATTTTCGTATTAATGACCGTACGAGAAGGAGTGCGCAATTTTGAGTAGCCTAAGATCAATATTACAGGAATCGATTCATCCGTTGTCATAGATTATTTTATTCCTTCAATTTTCTTTTAAAAGAATTATTATGATAAACTTTAGAATTAAACACATCGAACTTTATTCCAAATTATATGATTTTGCTCTATTCTAGAAGAAAAATAATACTATTTGGTATAAGGTTGAACTGAACTATCACGCACTAAACTACCTTTTCGACATGTATAGTTTCCTGCTTTAGATTCCCATTCGATGTTAGAGAACTTTCATCCGCCTTATCTTGAAGTATATCCAGACCACATTTTAAGCTGTTGAAAACAAGAATATGTGCTCGTGGGGCTGGGTAGTCAAAGAGCTCTTCCATGTTCTCTAATGGTATTCCTTTTGTTTCTGGAAGAAGGAAATAAACCCATGGTATGGATATTAGCGCCATTGATGCAAAGAAAAAGAATATACCGTAATCCATACCTTCAATCATATCTGTAGTGAACCTGGTCATGAAAAACACAGATAGCCATAAGAACATCGAATTTATTGCTTGAAAAGATGCCCTTAAAGAATTGTCGAATACTTCAGCACCTACAATATATGGCGTCCCAGACCAGCCAATTATAAAAAAGAAGCACCACACATACATTAATCCTAATGCCGCCCTACCTGCTGCAGCTCCACCTTCAACCTTAAGATATGCTCCGATATAGAAGAAACAAACAGCACATATTGGTGAAACGTATAGTAATGTATTCCTCCTACCGATCTGTTCTACTATGAACATCAACCAAATTATAGTGGCAATATACTTAACAACTCCAAATATACCGGTTGAAAACAAGGTCGCATTGGTTCCATCAACCCCAATTTTTCCAAATATTATTGGTGAATAATAGTTTATAGACTGAACACCTAGCAAATTCTGAAACACATATAAAGAAGCCGTCACGAGTAATCTTTTTTGTAATTTTGGTTCCCTCAAGAGAATAAGAAAAGGCCCTGCAATACCTGTACCTACTTTTTTCTTGGCTTCATTTACCAGTTCTTTGATGGATGATATTTCAGACAATAAGTAGTCATTACCATCATCTAGCTTTCTATAAAACTTTAAGTTTTCTATAGCTTCAGAATCTTTTCCAACGGAGAAGAGCCATCGAGGAGATTCTTTCACCCACCAAACCAATGCCAAATATAAAGCGGCGGGTATAATCTGTATCGCAAAAGGAAGAATCCATTGCACATATCCCGTTGACATATTTTCATCAACCGCATAACTAACCCAAAAACCTATGAGATCACCAGTTCTCCACCCTATTTCATACATAGCACTTACTCTACCTCTGATTGGAGGCGGAGATATCTCTGATAAAAACGTTGGAACAATTGAGGTTGATTGCCCTACACCTATACCAGCCAAAATTCTTCCCGCATATATCGGCCCTAAACCTCTATCTTTATTAGAAATTAACATTAAAACTGCTCCCAATGCCATGAAAAGTGCTGATGATATTAGTACTACTTTTCTTCCTTTATAAAATGTAATAGGATAAGACAATATTGAGCCAAAAAAGCATCCAGCGTGAAACAATGATACAATATTGGATATAATAAAACTACTATGGCTTTCCGACATTCTATCAAATCCAAACTCTTTTCTAAATGAGTCAAGCGCAAGAGTACCTCCTATAAATCCAGAATCATACCCGATTTCTAGGGCTGCAAACGAAGAAATTAGTCCTACAAAATAGATTCTCCAATTATAAACCAGCAGAGGAGTTGGTCTGTCTTCTTCTTTCTTGAACGGATTATAGATTTTTATTAGCATTATCGATAGTCACATTCAATATACGCTCTATAAATTAAAGAATGGTTAACTTCTTATGGCTATAAATACTCTCGAAATGAACTTACCTTATTAATTTGGTCTTGAATATTGGTCCTAATGATAAGCAAAACTCCACATAGGATGATTATCCAACCGAGATGTGGGGAAGTCTCTGGTTGCGAAATCCGAATTGGTAATTGAAATTAATTTTCTAAAGTAATACAATGTATCTCAACCTGTCTTAGATTTGCGGTTCTATATTAGTTATGGGTAGTTATTAACCCGAAATGTGGAGTCATAATCGTGATTTTTGGGTTGCACTCTTCGCTGGCGGAGATTTTATAAGAATAAACTCGAGCATATGCCTTTGACTTACAACTGCTGACTTCTGAGTAACATATTATAACCTATCTTGTTTACCTGGTATGAATTCCGTAAGAAGATGCATAATTATTTAATTTTCAAATTAGTAGAACCTATGTGTTCACTTTGAGAGACTTATTTCACCATAGAAAATTCCCCCTTAGAGAGAAAAATTTAAGTGTTAACGATGAAGGCAAAATTAATTAATAATATTATACCTAAGTTTAATACTAATTCAAAATATAATCCAATAAGCTACTAGGACTTATTTATTATGACTCGGTATGATTCTCTTCATGACTATTTATCATATATTCTGCTACCATGAAATCTATTAAATTGCTAGTAATCGTGAACTAGAGTTCGCGGTGAAATTCTTCACTACTTCGTACTGACCACTCATCAACAGCAAGAAAATTTAATTCTAAATCAGAACCTCTAATTTCTCTGTTTAAGCTAGATTCAGTATTGTTAAAATTATTTATTTAGTTGGTCAATTTGATGATTTTCAATCTTAATAAACCATTATCAGTATAAACATTCTTCGTCTTCAACTTCTTCAATCGATAGATGCTTATGTAACTTTGATTCTGGAGAGGCAAGAGTTGAGGTAGATTGTGTGGATACGGATGCTGAGTCACTTATTTCGGACGCTACTGATTCATTATCAGAGTCCACATTAGATAAGTTCACCATCTAATTTTAAGTTTCATAAAACTAAAACTGGAACTAATGAAAAAAACCATTTGCGCAGAGGTTTTATTAATTGTAACACTAGTAACTATGGACTGTGGAATGGTCATAATACTGTATTTTTTTTTGTTATCGTTAGTTTGAAGCTTTCCTCTGGGAGTATTCTAAAGTGTTCTCTGATGTAACGATAATTCCACAAACGGAAAACTGCAGCTTATGGTGAGAAATAATTTTTGTGACATCATGTTAGTTATCAAATTTCCGAAGAAGTCTACTATACTACTTTTAATATCATTATTGAAATTTTATTGAACTGTTTATTAAGTAATGGTATGCTGCTTGTTGGTCTTAAAAATAATTTAATCCATCACTTGCGGTTTGGCAGTCATATAAAAAAGATCATCAGATGAATGATTCTGTTTATACAAATAGCAGAGGCACGAATTACAGTATTAATTACATATTAGATTTTTGCACAAAAAGAATTATATCAAATGATACCTGACGGTTTTAAAACTAAAGAAGACTAGACCTACATTTATCAACGATTGTACATCTGATAATAATGTTTTCTAATATATAACCCCCTGTAATTAGTGAGACTTTATATATATAATTGAGTGATTGATTTAATTTGTCAGGGTATTAATTGGTATTAATTGGTAAGATTATTATTGTTTTATGTCACTTTAGTTCCTTGTTAGCATGCTTACCGTTTTTTATTTTGAACTGCACTTGGTATATCAATGAAACTTCGATTAAATCAATGCATCGGGTCAAATCCACGTATAATACCTAAAACAGAAGATCCCGTTAAATTAATTTAATACTAAAGTACCTAAAATTAACATTAATAACTGACCAGATAGAATGTTAGCAGAAAACGTAAACGTAGAGAAATAGCTCTAGAACTATTACATAAAGTTTGAATTAAAACTAATCATTAGAAGGCACGCATTCCGTTTATAACCGAGAGGTTCAGAATAAG